GCCTTGGGTTCTGTTGTTAGACTGACCTCATCTTCAGTTTGGGTCATAAATCTGTCTAACATTATCTTCTTGTATGGTTTATTCAGTAGGCTAGCAATTATTTGTCCTTGGTCAGTTTTTATTATTTCATATCTCCTATTTATATTTTCTTCTATCTGTTTCTTTAGAGCTTATTTCTACTCTTTTTTTTTTTTATTTTTCAGAATTCTTTGCCAGTCTTTTATATTGTCTATCCATGCTTCTAACCATTGTTTGTATAATTTCAGTAATGCTACTCCTATTTCCTTGCCAATGTTTTTGAGTTTATTGTTTGTTTCTTCTTTTTCTATCTCTTAGTTTTTTCTTATTTTTGCCTTTTTAATTATTTGTTGAAGTTCGATTGTGTTTCTATTTTGCTGTAGCTTCTTCTAATACTGTTTTCTGTTTACTTTTGTGTTGAATATCTTCTTTTTTGGAATTTGCTTATTTGTTGCTTCTGTTATAGCTTCTTCTATCACATTCCACATATAGTCTAACACATCTGTACTGTGTATATTGACTTCTCTGTCTTTTTCTAATTGTTTTAGGATCTTTTTCCATTCTGATTGTACTTGAAGCTCTTTAGCATATTCTTTCCAATCTTTTTGCTTTGCCTCCTCATACAGATATATTGTTTTCATTTGGTCTTTGTATTTGATTTCTGCACAACTCTGGTTCACAATTACATGTTCTAACCATATAACTGTCATTATTATTCTATGATCATTGCCTGTTATTCCTTCTGCTTCTTTTATGTTGGCTTTTTGAAGGCCAGCTGCCATAGTTTCTGACAATCAGATATAGTCAATTTTTGTTGCTGCTTCTTGGTTTGACCATGTATACACTCTCTTTGTTGGATGCAAGCTTTTGAAAAAGTCTGTAAAATCCTGTCTCTTGAGCCAATTAAAAACTGACAGTTTTTTATATCCTGTTGTTTGTGGATACAGTCTATTTAGTATGTTGTCAACTGTGTAATTAAAATCACCCAATATAATTACTTCTATGTGCTTCTTCTTGTTTGTTACTATTTTCACAATTTTTTGCTGTATTTTTTTTTTTTTTTTTGAGTATCTCTGTTGCTTTAGCAACTAGGAGCACTAGTGGCACTCTTTATTAAAATATTATTATATTAAAATATTGTGAGCAATCTAAGTACATTTTAGATATTTACAAATTAGTTTAGCAGTTTTAGGTCTATGACCTAGTGTGTTATGTTTTAAGACATGTATTTCTTTTGAAATATAGGCTTTGATTAGTGTACTAAGTGAGCTTAAGAGTGTATCAAAACCTCTTCATTTTAATGTAATGTATCAACACCAAATTTTATAGATTATATTAATATGTAACCAGGTTATAGTGATTAAAGCTTGAGTGCATTCAATATTAGAAGCTTGAAAAACATCTTCTAATGTAGTCAGTAAAGGTTTTTCTTTGTTAATATTAAGAAACTTATATGCCTCTTTCCAGATTATTCTATTTCTAGAGCATTCTAAAGCAAAATGTTTAAGGGTTTGTGGCTCTTCAGGGCACCAAATACAATCACCTGTTTTTAATGATCCAATATGTTTAAGACGATAATCTAAAGGAAGAGCTCTGTAGAAAAGATACCAGAAAATATCTTTTTTCTTATTACATATAGGCTTTAAAGAGAGCCAAATAGGTAAGGTAGACTGAATTGCTGAATGAACTAAAATAGGAGAAGATGTAGTTTTCTTTAAAAGCTCCAAGATTTTTTTAACTAAGAGCACATCTCCTTTTATTTCTTTAATTATAATTTCTTTTTTATCCTAAGGCCAATTAATAGTAGCAAGAATCTTTTTTTTAGTTCTTGTCTAGGCTAGTAAATAGAGTTTCCATTCTGTAGGCCAAGCTTTTAAATAAATATTATCAGAGCTTAGAGCCTAGATAGAAGAGATATTTCTTTTTTCTTTGAGCATTGTGTATATTTTGTCTCTTTCTTATGCTGCCCATATTGAGCTTGAAGTAAGAAGTTTTATCCAAATAGTGATTAAGCAAGCATCTAACATATCCTTGATGATTGGTGCTTGAAGACCTACTAGGTTTATAGATTGTTGAAAAGTAGAATATCTAGGAAGCATTCATGAGAAACCTTTAATCCAGAAGGAGATGATTTTGTTTATTTCTGCTATTTGCTTTCTGTTAGGAGGTAGCAAGTAAGCTGAATACCAGATTTTAGATAGAATTAGAGAGTTTGCAATAAGAATTTTTCTCTTGAAGGAGAAATTTCTATTTGAAAGTTTATCAAGTAATTCTTTTAGTTTGTTAATAGTTGTAGTTCAAAGGTCTTTTTTTGGTTGACCATTTGTGAGAACCTTATAGCTTAGAATAATAATAGTGTCCTGTTCCTCTAGTTTAGTAAACTGGTCTTTATTACAGAGTTCTACTCTTCGTGCAGTAAAGGTGAGAGGAACTAGTTTTGTTTTTGCTTTATTGATTTTTGTATTTGATGCAGCCTCGTATAAGCTTAATAAAGATTGTACTTTATTTTAGTCTGAAGGAGATCCAATTCCCATAGTCAAGTCATCAGCATATGCTGAAGTTTTGAAATATAGGTTTTTTAGTTTGATTCCTTGCATTTGTCTTTCTAGAGCAGAGATGAAAGAAGATCACCTTGTTTAACACCTCTTTTTATTCTAAAAGATTTAGAGATATAATCTGCCTCGACAATATGGGCTTCTTGGCAGGAAAAAAGATTTTGAACCAAACTGATAAATTTAGAATTGAAGTTCATGCTTTCTAAAGTAAGCTTTAAAAAGTCATGACTCACTCAGTTAAAGGCTTTTTGTTGGTCCACAAAGAGGAGCCAGTGTTACTTAAATGAGTCTGATTGGTTTCTCATCATGGTGATAATATCTAGAGCTGCATCTGTAATCAGTCTGTTTTGTATAAATCTGTGTTGCTGATGTGGTATAAGATCTTCACAAATAAAATTCAAACAGTTTGCTATAATCTTTATAAATATTTTGGCATCACTATTTATTAAAGAAATGGGTCTCCAATTGTTCATATTTTCTAGATCTGTTGTTTTTTTCAGTATCAAGGAAATCAGACTTTTGCACCATGAGGTTGGCATGATTCCTAAGGTTAAAGCTTGATTAAATACTTTGTACAAAATTGGAGTTATAGCCTTTTTTGTAAGTTTGTAGAACTCATATGTTAGACCATCAGTATCTGGTGTTTTGTTATTTAGAAGGTTTTTAATAACATTATTAATTTCCTTTTGGGTAATTTCTTATATAAGTACTGAATTATGAGCTGATAAAGCTTGAGGCAAGTTTTCTGTAATTTTTTTAGCTGAGTTAATATTTATATCTTTTTTTATATATATCTTGGCATAAGTGTTTCTAATATATTGAAGAGTATTTTCACTTGAATGTAATAGAGTCTCAGAATCCTTAATGGTTTTCAAGAATGAATGGGCTTTTTTAATTTTATATCTAGCAAAAAAATATTTTGTTGATTTTTCTTTTTGCTCAATCCATTGTGCTTTTAAACATATTTGCCATTTTTCTGTAAAGTATGATAGTTCGTTTTGGAGGTCTAGACTTAGTTTGTCAACTTAATTATATAGAAAAGAGTTTTCTGAGTTATATGCCAGTCTTTTTTTTAGTTGGGTTACATTTTTGTTTAGTTTTGCAATCTTGTTTTCTACAGCTTTTAGTTTTCTAAATGCTCTTATAATAGATTGTATATGAACTTTACAGAAGTTCCAGTTATTTGTTTCTTCAAATGCAGTAATTTCATCAAGCACTTCTTTTTTTAGTTTTTCATTCATAAAGCAGTTTTTGTTAAATCTCCAAAGAGCTGACTCTCTTTTTTCAGTTTTAAAACAAAGAGTGCATTCTACTAAAAGATAATCTGAGTTGCCAAACTTTGTATCGATTTGTAAAATAAGATGAGCATTATTTTTATCAATAAAGATATAGTTTAAATAAGTAGCCATTGTACAATTGCCTTGTGTTTTTTGGAAGAATGTATGAAAGGGTTTTGTTTTTGCAAAATCTGAGAAATCTGTAAAGTTTCTAGTAAGGTTTAGGAGTTGCTTTCTCGTTAGGTCTCGCTGAAGTGCTGTCTCGCTAGATCTATCTTTTTCTAAATATAGATTGATATTGAAGTCACCTCCAATTATGTTGATAGCATTTTTATTGATTTGAGGTACCCATTTCTCGAAGAAAAGTTTTCTAACATTAGGATTCAGAAGAGTATATATATTGAAGACTTGGAATGTAAGATCTTTAAATTTGAAATTAGTAGTAATGATTCTATTATTTATATTCATTTTTGTATCTTTAAATGTTATATTTTTGTTGCTTGCAAGTATTGCTGTCTTATTTGTCCAAATTGAATTGAAAATCCACTGGTTTTTCAGAAAGCTTTGCATGTTCTTGTTATTTAAGTTTGTTTATTGTAATATAATAAGGTCTAGTTTGTAAGATTTTAAAAGAGTTAAAGTATTTTGTTGTTTTTGTTGATTGTTCAGCCCTTTTATGTTAAGGCTTGCAATTTTAAATTTAAATTGTCTAGTCATATTATAAATAGAGTAGTACAGATATTAGATCTGTGAGTTTTGTGCACCATTGTGAGATTTCTTGTATAGAGCTGGCCTAGTTGTTATGATCTTCTGATTTGTAAGATCATTCTTGTTTTTTTTATCTTTTTTTTTTCTTTGTGGAATTAGAGTAAATCCATCATCAGAAATTCTAGGCTGAATTTGTTGAGTATTATCATTCATAATTAGCACTACTGGTGTGCTTAGTGAAATAGGTTGTTCCATCTCCAAAATATGATCTGTTGTTAGATTTTCTATAATAGGAACTTTGTTGCTAGCATCACTAATATCTTTATTAATTGGACTATCTAAATCTTTTTCTATTGATGTTGAGTTATTTGTTTTCTCATTCCTATTAGTGTTAGAGGTATTAGAGGAAATTTCTTCTGATTGAGAATTATTAACATTTATTTCTTTCATAAGATTATCTTGTTCTTGTTGATCTGTATTCATATTTTCTAAGTTTGCTGAAGGGAGCTTTTCTTTTCTTTTATTTGAAAGAAAATCATTATAGTAATGATAAAGTTCAATAGCTTTCTTGTATTGGGTACAGTCTTTTTTGATATATCCTTCATTATCACAGAAGTAGCACAGCTTGGGTGCTGCACACCACTCTGTAGTAACTTTGTTATCTAAAATAATGTAGAATCGAGAAATTCTTTTCTCTAAGTCTGAGTTTTCTGTAGTCTCGAAGGTAATAATCTATTGATCAGTTAGATAAGGAGTGCCTTCTATTAAGAGCAGCTTGATTGAGGCAATTTTACCAAAATTTTTGAAGGCATTTTTGATTCTATTTGAAATAAATTCCTTGTCACCTAAAGGAACATTTCTGATTTTAACTAATAAAAAGGATCTTCTAGTATCAATAGGAATATGCTTATAGTATGTGCGATTAAAAATTTCAATCCCTTTCATAGCATAATGCTTGAGCTTTTCTTCATTTGTAAAAATTAGTTCTAAGTAAGTATGAGATCCTCTATTGACATGTGGCTTAGCAGTGATTATGTCTCATCCAGCTGTCTCATAAAGAGAAATCATAATATCATTTAGTGAATCATTTAGGTTATGAATGTCTAAAATGAGAGCATTATTATTTTTAGACCTGATGTTGTTTTTTGATAAGAATGAAGAGAAGGTTGATTGACCTTTCTTGACTTTTGCAAATAAGCTTAACCATGATTTATTAACAGCCTCTTTGCTTTTGTTTATACCTGTTGCATTAGATTTTGCATAAACTGTGTTGTTTTGTTCAATATATGAAGTTGTTGTTGTTTTGTTTTCCTTATTGTTTTGTCTTTAAGGATGTGTTTTGGAACTAGACATGACTGTAAAGTTGTTTTGATTCTTCTTTTCTTTAGAAGCTTTTGTTTCATTTTCTAAAGTAACTTGTTCATCCCAGCTAATGTTGTTTAGAGAGTCATATTGCATAGAGTCAGATAAGACTTTTTGGCTAGTTTGTGCTATCATAGTATACTCTTTAGAAGAAAAGATAGTTTTAGTTATTGCTAGTTGTTTCTTTGTCAAAAAGTTTGTTGTTAATTTGTTTTCTTGTTTCTATAACAAAAGTCTTATGCTTTTTGGGAACAAGGAGGAGAGCCCCTGTTCTGCTACTGTTTTTGAAGTTAGTAAAGCCCTGTGTAGAGTATATTTTGTCTTTTTCAAAACTGCTCTCTTTCCTAAACGTAGTGGTCAGGAGAGAGAGATCATTGATCTTTTGCTGTATTTTTTTGCTAGTTGCCTTGTTATTTGGTGAAATATATATCCTTATCATTATCAATACTAGTTGTTTGAAGTATAGCTTTACTTCTATTATATATTTGCTAGGTTTTTTAACTGCTCCAACATGTTTTTTTTCAAGTCTCATCTATTAAAATTCTAACACCTAATTCTTTTTTCTTGTCTGGTACTGCACTTGTCCAGTAGCTTTTAAATCTTGTGTTGAGGTTATGCACTAAGATTTTCTTTTCTTTTTCTGTAATATTTATTTCTGTAATTCTCAAGAATGCTATTTCTTCTTCTTCTGTTCAGTCTAGCAGGTTTTCTAGTTTTCAACCTCTGGTTTTAAGTCCATTAATATTATGACATACAATTTTTATCTTTTTTTTTCCTTTTTTCTATTTTTCTTTTAACTGCTTATATCTTGTTTCTGCATTTTCTGCATTTTCTTTTCTTTTCTTTCTCTTTATTTCTTTTGGATTAGGAGATTTTTCTTTATTTCTTTCTTTAAAGATCCTTCTTTCACCATGCAGAAAATCTTCAATCTTCTCATTCCTGTTTATAAGTTCAACTAAGGTACCTTTAGGAGTGATTAGCTAGGCTCTTCCTAGCTGTTTCTCTTGTTTTTTTTAGTCTTTTTAATCTCTTTTAAATTTGCTCCAAAAAGTTTTCTATACATGGTTCTCCTTCTTGTTTATGTATCTTAAATTTTTCTGGTCTTTCTTTATGATCTTCTAATTCTTCTTTCTTCATCTTTGCATTTTTTATTTGGTTTTCTGTACTTTGGCTTTGAGATCTGCTTCTTTTATTTAGCAAGAAATCCTTTTGGCTTGCACTATTTTTATTTCTGTGCTTTTTTTGGTAGGCTCTGTTTCTTTGTTTTCTTCTGCTACTTCTATTCTCTTCTGTATATAAGGTCTGGCTATATCTGTTCTAGCTTTTTTCTCTTTCTACTTCAAGACTTTCTCTTTTTCTTGTTTCTCTCTTTTCTTCATTTACCCAATAAACTCAAAAGTTGTTATATATAATTAGCTTTGTTTGGGCAGCTCTCATGTTTCTTTCTGTTGCAAATATGTCTATTGCTGATCTTTTTTGGTTCCTGTTTCTATTTGGTAGAATGTAAACTGATTTGGCACCTTTGTTTCTCAAGCTTCATAGTAGTAAAACTTCTGTAGCATTTTCTGGTAATTCTGTCAGTCTTGCTACATATTTTCTTTGTCCTTCTTTAGCTTCATGGTCTTTTATTCTCTTAGTTACTCATACTAGTTTATTATTATTTACTAGTATTGTTCATAGAATGCCTTCATATGTTCTCTCAATCTTGATCATAGCTAAGGTTTTATACTTAGATTTCTTAATTCTTACTATATAGGCCTTTCTAAATCTTCTACAGATGTATTCTAGTTCTCTTTCATTTATATCTGCAGGTAGGTCCCAAATTGTAGATAACTTGTGTTCTCTGATTCTTCATTTGTTTCATGTTGGTTTTTGTTTGTCTTGCTTTTATTTTCTTTTCTTTTGTATTCTTCTTCTTTGATTCTCAATTTGCTGCTATTTCTCTTTTGACTTCTTTCTATATATTGTGTCTGTCTCTTTATAGTGTTTTCTTTTTCTTCTGGTATCATTCTATACCAGTCACTCTTCTTTTTGCTGATTCTCTGTATAGCATCATTTCTGCTATACTCACAGTCAAAGTCAACTTCTACCCATAGATTTTTTCTTTTAAAGATTTCTTTTATATCTTTGACATGTATATTATTTCTTAAAGACCATCTAATAAACTTCATACATTCTTCTTTTATTTTTTCTAGCACATTGTGTGCTGATATATTCATAAGTAGACAATTGTTCTGATTACAATTTTTTTTGCTTGGGGCCTATATGCTTTCTTCAAAAGATTCTTCTACTATATCAATTTCTCTTTCAAAGTCTAGTTCAACAACTTCTTGTTCTTGCTTTTTTTTTTGTTTTTCTGCATTTCTTTTTTGACTAGGCAAGTTTTCTTGCTTTCGTTAGATTTGTTCTACTTCCATCTTGCTGTTGTTATTGGTACTTACCTTTGCTGCCTCTTCTTTCTGTAATATCTTGTCAATTTCTTGAACCCTTGCTTCATGTTGATTCCTTTCATTTGGTTTCTCTTTTGATGTTTGGTCTTGTTCTATCTTTTGTGTTTCTTCCATTTTTGCAGTTTGGTTACATTTCTTCTTAAGTCTATCTTGACCTTGTTCTGGAATAGGTTCTAGTATCATTGCATAGTTGCTTTGCTCTACTATACTTAATTTTCTTTCTGGTTGCTCTTTCTCTGCTTTATCTATTAGTTCTCTTGTTAATCTTAGTAGAGCAACTTCTTCTGAATTTTGATTTGTCAATATAGCAACAATTTCATCTTCTCTGCTAGGCAATATATATGTTTCACCTGCTTGTTTAATGAACACACCATTTTGCATACTATTGATAGCCTAGTATGCTCTATTGATATATGTTGTTATTAGACTGCTGTTATGTTTTTTGATTATATCTATATTTTCTATCTATATTAAGCACATGTTTGTTTTGCTTGTTTTACACATAGTTGAATTGCTTGTTTGTTTATATCCTTATGACCAAAACAGATCTTTGATATCAGGTTAGTACCAATTCCCCAAAATACCACAATTTTCCAAATTTTTGAGCATTTTCTTCAAGAAATTTTTAGTTTTCTTTGCTTTTTCTATATTGTATCTCTTGTATTTGTCTATTTATTCCCTTTATATACCTTTCTTGAATGCTCTTTCTTTTTATTTAGTTCTGTCAAAGTAGTTTAGAAGGCCACTTTAGCATAAAATCAGTTTTCCTTTTTGGTCAAATTTTGTGTTTAGATAATTAGTAAGAAGAGTATATGTTGTATTTGTTATACTTTATATTAAGATTAGCATCATTAGATTCTAACTTTTTATCTATTTAAGAAAAAATATAAATATAATAGTAATAAATTTCTAAGATTTTAAGATAAATCATTTTTAGATTTTTTTTTGAAAATGAGTTCCCTAAAAAACATTTAGCATCCACTATAGCAATCATTTTACTATTCATTGTATCAATTTCTATTACTACAACTTGACCTCAATTGGGCAATAAAGCACCTACTAACAGTATTATTCATAATTTTTTCATAATACTAATAATGAATCTTCAGATTTATTAGAAAGTATTTTAAGTACTTATAGTACCATTTAAAAATAAAAACTTAATCCAAAAATTCTTCAAGTCAATCTTCATGATCTTGTTAATTCTCACATTCTTGTTAACTTTTATACTCTCATCAACTATTGCAATCAGCTCAATTTTTATATCAAACTTTTCATTCTAAACATTCATCTCTTAACAACTATAATCATTCTTTATCACCACAAGGTAGATCATGTGATAGATCACCAGATAGATGCTTAACTAATCAAAATCAGCCACAATTTTAAGATAGTAATTCTATATATAAGTCTTTTTTTTATTTTTTTTATTTTGAATATCATACTTTTTGTATATTTTATTTTTAAAAGTTTTTTTTTCTCTTTCTTTTGAAAGTTTTTTTTTTTTTTTGAAAGTTTTTTTTTTCTTTCTTTTAAAAGTTTTTTTTTTCTTTTAAAAAACTATTTTTTTTTAAAGAACATACTTGCAATAGCCATTGCCTTATTGATGAATAGATTTTTACCCAAAACTACTAGTTGTACCTCTTGATCAAAGAAGTCAGATAATATAAG